GAAGGACAGAGCTGACATGGTAGGGAGCTTTGCATGATGGCTCTGGTGCACATTCAGAGAGGGAGCAGAGGAGAACAGGACCTGACAGCCTCTTAGCACACCTGAGGGGCAGTGGCAAACATACTGGACGTCTCAGAACTGAAATTGCAAGAGAAACTGCTCAGCTGTGCTGTTTGAAAAGATGTTACTGTTTTTGCAATGCCCTGGGCTTTAGCCAGTGCATCCGTCTGCTCTCCTCATTAAGGGTATCACCTGGACTCCTACTGGTGTAAAATAAAAAAAAGCATTGACTTAATTCCTCCTCCTACGAACAATGCTGCAAGTCCATATACTGTAAACCTAAAATCTTCCCATTCATCTTCAGTGGCTGAGACAGTTCTTTCATTTAAGCTGATACCATAAACATCAGGTCCAGAGAGGTCCAGCTGAGGTGGAACAGGGAAGAGAGAACTGTTTCTCTGAAATGTATTTTTCTGAGATGATGGATGGTTTTTTTATAGGGTTTATCTGGATTCCTCTTTGCCACTTTGCTTCTGATGCTGGAGCTGAGGTTTTAAATCTAAGGTGCTTTAATCATCAGTTTGGCTGCTAAATACAGTAATAAATTTGGGACTTTTTTTTTAAGCTTCTGTCTATGTCTTGTGGCTATATTCTGCCTTGATTTATAAACTTCTCATCCCATGGGGTTACAAGGCAGTCTGCATGAGATACAAGTTTGGCTTGGTGAGTTCCTCCACTGTTGTGAATGGGCATCAGTCAGCTGAGGCTTATCCCAGCAGTTACCTCCTCTCAAGAAACATTGTGACAGCAAAAGAAAATGTGAAAGTCCTTTCACGGTTACTTACCTCAGTCTGAGCAAGTGCTCAAGTTAGAGTTACTGAATGAGAAAAAATGTATTGTAAGTATCTAATAGTAATAAGTGCCTAATTACCAGGAACTACACGTGCCAAGAACGTGGATTCTTTCTTTCCCAAGATACTGCAAATTAACTAGTACAGATTAGCATTGCTGTTGGAGGTCATGTCTTTGGTGATACACATACCCTAACAACTGTGTTGGGCAGCGCTGAGTGGAAGGTGAAGAAGGAAATATCAGAGAAGCAAGTGAAGCCAATGAGACATGTTCAAGTAAATAACAAGAGGGGTGGGAAGGGGATTGGCCCTCAGGACTGGGCTGTCAAGCACCCAGGCTCTGGACAGGCTGTTAGACTTAGCCCAGGAAGACAGGGAAGTGACGAAAATATGATTTGGATGTTTCTGTTACCAATAGACACATGATTTACAGATCAAGCACATTGATCCTCTTCCCTTCATCTTGCTGTTAAGTATTTCAGGCACAATGAATCCACGTAGAGCACAAATCTAGATGAAGAGAAATCTGTTTGAGGAACCTGATTTGTCTGCTCAAGGTAGCTTTGCAGCTGTGTGAGACAAAGGTGTTGCTGATGAAAGTAAGTGGGAGAGCAGAGTTGTTACCAGGTCAGCTTCATCGGAGTGGCTGGAGAGGAGGGCACTGTGCCAGGCTTTCCGTGTCACGCTGTCCTGGGCTGGTGTGGCAGTTTGATGGAGCAGCTGGTTGTGGGAGAGGTGGCAAGAGCAATGTGAAAATGAAATGAAACGGAGCGGCAGTAACCAGGCAGAGGGTGTTAACAGCAGTCTGCTTCAGCTGACTCTTAGAAGGCAATTCCAGTTATTGCTGAAGTCCCCTGTTACTGTTTCTTGGTTCTCTTCACTGAACATCCTTGTGGCTCAGATTTAATTCAGCATTGATTTCTGGACCAGCTTGACTTCTTTTCTAGCAGAAGCAAACTATTAACCTAAAATGCCATAGTGGAAGCAGGTGCAGTGCTTTGGGCACCTGAATCCAGTTCACTGCAAGCACAGGCAAGGGAACTGGTCACTGGTAACATCTCCAGGCTGCTGGTGTAGGTGAACACATGGGTGAGCGAATGCTAGCGCAGACTTGCTTCCTGAAATGGTGCAGGTTTGTTTCTAGAAGCCACTATTTCATTACGATGGGTGTTTTGAATCTCTTTTTCTTCCATACTAATTTTTTTCTGTAGATAAATTATTTATTAATTACAAGTCTTGAATAAAGCTTCACATTCCCTTGCAAATGAAGTTGCTTCGCCAATGTGTAGTTACTGAAGGTGCTAAACTAAATGAAAAGAAATAATTATCCAATTGTTTGACAAAGTGAAAGCATATTGGTGTGGTGGCAGGCCTTTGTAGTGTAGACCATGAATACTCCTAGATAAGTACAAATGAAAACACCTTGAGTAAGGGACGAGTAAGGTAGGAAGAAAGGACTATCCTCACATTTTGCATGCTAGATCAGACAGGTAGTTTATGCCAAATATATCTGGTCAAGAATTGTAACCCTGCCATGATTTCAGTAAAAAATTTACTCTTGAAACCAGTCATGTCCCACTTACAGGTCTGTAAATGTTATGGGGCTGAGCAGACCTCAATGCTTATAAAACAGAGACTGGAAATGGTCTCTCTGCACTTGTGATCATCAGCATTTTCAGACATACTATACTTTGGGCACTTCATTTTTCCATTTACACACAGATACCAGAGTTAAGAAATTCTCGGATCTCTTGAATTGTGGTGCTGTCAGTGCGTGGGCAAAGGTGCACAATCCCGTGTGTTTGCTCTAATGAGGCTATACGGCTTCCATAGAAGTATTCATTTCAGGAGGAACAGGGCAGCTGTCAGCCACTATTTTGTGGTGTCTTAAGAAATATGTAGTGTCATTGTGCCCACACAGATTAGTAAGCTTGACAATTTGAGATGAGTACTTAGAACTGGCCTTTGGTTTTAATTTAAAAAATGGTGGGCTTGGCACTGTTAGCCAGCACAGATCTTGGCAGATCTTGAAGAGTCATTTGGTGGTGTTTTCCCAAGACATGCCCACTCTAGAGCACAGTTAGTCTTGGAACTGGAGAGAGTCTGAGTTGCTGTAGAACGGATGTGGTGTCCTGCTGCCTTTTGAGGGTTGACAAGTGGCTGGAGAGACTTTGGAGCCTGTGAACGCTTTCTGCACTGGTTGGTCCATGACATCGTATCCTGCAGCTGGTAGGACTCAGTGGACAAGCTGTTGAATGACAGCTGGTGGAGCAGTTTCTTCCACTTGAAAGGCTTGCAATTGTTCTGGTGATGGCCCTTGTAGTCCATCGGGCCCTCCTCCTGGAGGGAGGTTAGATGTCCATGCTGTCTCTGTGCAGGAGACCATGGGTGAAGTAGACCGCTGCCTGCCTTCCATATTTTACCTGGACAGTATCAGTGAGGTGCATGATTCCTCACTACACGTAGGCATGTGGTTTGGACTTCATGTGAAGGCTGGAAAGACAGCATCAGCTATAGATTCAAGAGGTATAGCTCTTTCTTTAGGACTCCTACAGGCTGCTTCTCCTGGTCAGCTCAAGGAGTCACACAGCTGCCAGCTACAGTACCTGGAGACTGTGAGGTAGGTCTCACTAGGAGACAAGTGAAATGAACCTGAGTTGTGTCAGCCTGAACGATCCTGACAGTCAGTTCTTGAGCAGAGTGGCTAGAGATGTATTTATCTCCTAGTGGTGCTGGAGGAAGTTGTATCTCAAGCAGAAAAATGAGATAAGGGTGACATACTGTACCAGTACCAGCTAAATTCAGTTCAGTCTTGGCTGCAGACAGAGCAGGGAGAGAGGCCCTTGGCAATGTGAGCGCAATCCAGGATGGGCTTCAGATTCAAAAGCTGAAAGTGTACATCCTCAGCTTGGGAAGGGTCTTTTCAGAGGGGCACAAGAGCATTTCATAAGAAGCAGAATGTGGCAGCAGTGAAAAGTCCATGTTGCACACATACATCAGACTTGTCCTGAGATAGGTCTCTTCCTCCTTTATCTCTTCATGGCCAGCTAGAAGGTTGCCAAGCCTCAGATTGTTGCTGAGTTCTTCCAGGCCATGGCTCAGTAACTAAAGGAAAGATGTTCATTAAATATCTAGTGAAGTAAAGGCTTGGGTTTGCTTTCTGCTTCTGTTTAAAATGCTGCTGTCTGTGCTGGACACTAATGATTTTATTTTTTCGGGGGTAGTAGTCACATGAATAATGCATTCCCTGCTGAGCCTTTTTAACAGTCCCCTAGCTGCTTCCCATCTGAAGGGAAGTGTAAGAGGTAATTAACAGCCACTAGAAAAAAGGATTAGCAGGTGGGTGGGAGCTACTGTTGGGTTCATGCATGGAATTGCCATGGAAATGCTGAGATTTCCTGGCACTTCATCCAGTGCGTGGGCTCCAAAGATAGTTGCACTTATGGGCCTCTCTCCTTTCGATCTTCCTACCCTACAAAGGGAGCGGCTGCATTTTCCTTCAGGACAGCTTCCGCAGGCTGTTCTGTCGCCATCTGCACACCCGATGAAGCCTGCTAACCAGGGGTGCCGCAGAGAGTGGGACACTGTGTTGCAGCTGTCAGCTGAAGTCTTTTTACATTTCTTTCATGTCAAACCAATTGGCAGAAAATCAGGGGGGGAAAAAAACAGACCCTGGTGGTTTTCCCCTTTTCCTTAGCTATAAAAAATAATAACTTGGTCCACAAAACACTCAGGGTTTGTCACTTCTTAGAGAAGTTGGTGCTGGTCCTTGTCCTGCAAACTTGCACCATCTCAGTAGCCTTGTGTGGCTTAAACCCACTGAAGCAGACAGGACTGTGCAGCTGAACAAGGGCTGTTCTGCACGTAAGCATTTTCAGGCTGTGCAATGAGACCTGCATTTGCTTCTAGCCTTGTTTGGTGGCCACGCACACTTAAAATATTGGGCATATTTGTGAGAAATGTCTCTCATTTCAGTACCAGCTCTGGAGGTCTAGAAGGCTATGGGCACACATTCATCTGAAGAGGTTCCTGGGGGAGCCTACCATATCTCTCTCCCTCTTCCCCTTTCTGCAGCAGTAACAAGAGCCTCCTGAATTTGTCAGTGTCTGGGGTGCTTTGGTTTTAAGGAAAGTGTGCCATTTGTTTCAGATCACCTGTTAGCAGACTCCTACGTTGGACAGGAGGACTCCCCTGAGATGCAGCAGGCGGCACAGAACAAGCGCAGGCTCTCTGTCATCTCAGATGGCAAGTTTGAGAGGAGCTTCTCTGAGGAGCAGGCAGAGAAGATGCCAAGCGAGGGACCGAAGCCACGAGTCTACACGATCTCCGGCGAGAGGCCGATGCTGTCGGACCATGAGAATGAAAGTATGGAACTGGTGGTGATGAAGGGGGCTGCCCAAGAGGAATGCCACCACAGCCACCAAGTGCACAGTGCTGGCGGCTCTCATGGTGTTAGCAGGCATTGCAAGGGCTGGCCAGGCAGCCGGCAGGGCTCCAAGGAGTGCCCAAACTGCACCCGGCTGGCTGCCCCCTCCCAGCATTCCTTTGACCTGGAGCAGCATCAATCCAGCGAGACTGGGTGGCACAGAAAAAGGCTGGAGAGGATGTATAGTGTCGATCGAGTGTCTGGTGAGTAAGGATGAGTGCTGGGTGCTGGAAGGACACAAAGGGATTCATCGACACAGGGGTGAAGGGTGATGCCCATCTCATCCCAGCATGGAGGTTTCACTGCCATGTGCCTCGAGTTGGGCCCTGTAGTAGTTCCCCTTCGGCACCTTGCTGGTACCTTCGTGGAAACGGATTGTCGAAGGAGGAGTTTGAAATAAGCTGAGCTCAGTTTGAGGCCAGCTCGTCCAAGCTCTGTTGTCTCTGCTTCTGGCTTGTAGCAGCAGATGACCTGGGTGGTTTACATGACAGCTTCATGTAGCTTAGTGAGGGTGATCTCTGTGGGCTCCCTTTCTGCCGAAGGAAGAGCAAGACAAGAGGGGCTGTGTCAAAGCGCCTACATTTATGCTCATCCAGGAGACAGGACCCTCTCTCCTCTGCCTCATTCTGGGGCTCAGGCAGGTGAAATCTTTGCAGATGTGTCAGGGCGCTCAGTGGGAGCCTCAGCTCAGCTCAAGTACAGTGTTCTGTACTTAGGTGCATCCCCAAAATGCTTGTCTGTGTGGCTGGAAGCAGTTTAGCAGGGTCCCTCGTGTAGTGCTACCTTATGGGCTTTCCATAAATACTAGCAAATAACACAATATTGGACTTTCTTCCCCACTCACTATCCATTTGCTCAATGTTCTCAGGGAATAGGGCTTGTAATTATTCAATTACAGTAAAAAAATCCCGGTTTGTCTTTAAAGACTTAACCATTAATCAAATATATGTCACAATCTATGTGCTTTGAATTATAAGCTAGTATGCAGTCCATCTTTGCCTGTCAGCTGTATATGTGGCTGGCAAACAGTCTGACCTAATTTGTCTTGATTTTTTTTGTTTGTTTGTTTGTAAACACCCATCAAGGCTTTTAGAGCGGAGTGTCCAGTGAGGAAAGGTCAAGGTTTTCTCCTTTAAAAGAAATTGAGTATAACGACAGTGGAGATCAAACTGTACATCTTTCCTGGGTTCATAGTTTTCTAGTAAATATCATAGTGATATTTACTGCAGGTAAAATCACTGAAAGTTTGGGTTCTGGACCATATTTTCATGCCTAGATACTTGAAATTCTGTGACTAAATTAATACATGGCCTAATACTGAATAATAATAATAATAAAAAAAGAACTGATTATCAAATGTGCAGAACACCTACAGTCTCACTAACTCCTGTTCATAGTTTTTAAGCATTGTTCCTCTGTTTGTTCCCTGTGATTTTTGGGCTTCACATCAGACACTACATGTGCAAGTTTAGACTCTACTTAAGTGCAAGAAAAGGAGTGAGAAGAGTTTTTCTGTATGGAAACCTTTTATGGTTTTATGATCATATGTGTTTTACCTCTTAAAAGATGGCTCTGCATATGGTGACACGGCCAGAAAGCTTGTGTGAGGATAGAAAAAGCAAGCCGTTTCAGGAAAGGAGATCACAACCCCAGGGGCTTGGCCTTCTGGAGATCAGGGTGCTGAGTTGAATTGGTAGCAGCCTCATGATGTGTACTGAATTAAGAAAATGAAGATTCCCTGTTCTAGTGCTGATGGATTTATGTTGAAAGCTTTCCTGAACAAATCAAAATTGTACTATGCACTGTGGGACTGAAGCAGGTTACTTGAATACAGAACCAAAGGAAAGCTCCAGATCACTAATGGAAGAGTTCAACTCCTTATAGCTGGAGCTAAACACCTCTGTCGGAAAACGTGTCCTAGCAAATACTATAGAGAGATGCCATGTTCTGTTTCTGGGCCTTGGGATTTATAATATGTATCTTCAATAGGCAGCAGTTTTTGTTAGGGCCAGTTACCAATGTGAAGTGGAGATTTGCCTTTCTGAAGATATATTGGAGTAGTTACTTAAATGGGAACAGAGTTGACAGCACTGAACCTGCAGATGCTTCCATGAGTATTTCATGTTTCGTACAAGCAGACAGCAGCTAACCTTGGTGCTTGTCTCAAGCTTCTGAGTGCTTGCACATGTGGCTGCACAGGCAGCACTGTGCCTCTTGAGACCAAATCCCATAGTAGCACTGGCATCATGGAATGAAAGTTTTCTCAGCTTGGTCTCATTTGCGCTCTCTATCTAAGCAGAGATCTATCTACTCAGAGAAAAACTGAGAATTGAATGGCACAACTGTCTCATGTTGCAAGAAGTATATCTTGGAATGTCCTTCATGCATGGCTAGGAGAGAAAACAGAGCAGGGATGAATGGAGGCGAGAGAGACAGACTAGTTTCCCCAGAGGTTCACTTTAAGGTGCTGCCTTCTCTGTTTGGATTTACATGACACATTATTGCAGCAAACCAACACTCATAGCAGTTAGGCCAGATTGGCATAATTTAATATGGATTTTTATGCTGAGTTTATGATGCCTAACACCATTTCAGAGAAGCACAAGCTGTCGTCTCCTGTGCTGCTCCCAGCATCTGATACAAACACATCCACTCATGGACAGAGGTGCTGAGATTTTCATGCAGCCTGGCAAGAGATGCTGAACGTGGTGGTGGTGTTCCTCCAGTCATACCCAGGCCCATGGTTCCTTGACTATTTCATCACAGTTGATGGTAACAAGAAAGGAGAACAGGATGCTCTGCCTGGCCAAAAATGAGTATGCTACCTGCTCCTGGAAGAAAAATAGCCGTACACATAATCTGGATTTTAATTAGCTGGATGAACTCTGGAGCTGAGCTGTGCTCCCTAGTCCCCAGCTGTGTGCTTCTCTGCTACTGTTCTACCTTTGGCTGGTAAAGAGGTGCCTCTGAAGGGTCACAAATCCTTTATTCTCCATTGAGTACTGTGGGTAGGGGTGTGATATCTTTCCTATGTTGACTCCTGTCTATCAGAAAAGGAGGGGAGGCTTCCAGTGATTGTCCAGGTAAAGCCTCATAAGGTTATTAACTGTTGTTCATAAGCTCTGCTTTGAATCAAAGCTAGTGGCTTAAAAGCTGTAAAATATATTAAGAGATTGTCAGTCCTTTGAGATGTGTAGTCCCTGAGAAGTCTGTACAGAATTGTTGGCTTTAAAGAAATTTGTACAACTTCTCCTCCTTCACAACTTTTGTGGGTTTGAGACTTCAAACAAGTCATTCATTTAGTCTGAGCTGTTTTGCATTTCTTCTCTGTTGTTTGGAGGAGAGCAGACATAGGAACTTCATAATAAGTATTTAGCATACTAGAATGCAGTTTTCATTTAACATACATATTTCCTTAGGGTGCCTTTATACAAGGCTTGACATAAACTGTTAGCTGAGAAGGAGTGCCTGTTACAGCTTTCTATATGATTTCATGGAAGCTTCACTTCAAAGGAAGCCTCCCCAGTGGCATTTAGCATTTTTTGCATCTGTAATTGCGGCCACTTTTTGTACTTTCAGGGAACAGCAGGATCAGTCTGTAGTAGATGATGATCAGTACAAAACATTTGGTAAGATATCTGGTCTGTAGTAATTATGTCTGCATTATGCATGCAGGGTTTGATTGGGTTTTGGCTGATGAAAGTGAAGGAAGAAAAAATACTCTTGACAATGCCAGAATATTAATGACTAAGATACCGTAGTTGCTAATGATCTTAAAACTTGAATGAGTGAAGCAAGACACGTGATCAGCAGCACGTGGCAAGGCATTAAGCAAGGAAGCCACGAACTGGGAGTGAAGCAAGATGAAAAATCAGGTAGCCCAAATCCCAGGGATCCAATCCCCTGAGATCTCGGATGTCTTGTGTCAGTGGATTTTAATACACCTCTGATTCCCTGCCTGCCTGACTTCTCAGTAGGAGCTGCTTCTTGCTCAGATTCCTCCTTCTGGTCACCACCGTCCCACACACATAATTAGTGACTTATTTTGCTGTGTGCTTTTTGTCTTAGTGGTCATTATGTGCAGATGATGCGGTGTCCTAATGCAATGGAATTAGGAAATAATCTGCAGTTGGTTCAGGCAGGACAGTTTACAAACATAGGGGACCAAATAAGAACAAAGTTATCTGCAGATTATATAGCTGATGTGCAGTTTGACTTCTAAAACCAGAAAAACTCATGAAGGTTAACAGGGGCAGGTGTGTGAAGGGTTTATTGAAACTTCAATGGTAGAAAAAGTATGTCTCAGGCTTAGGGTTCTGAAGAGAGGAAGGTGAATGCTCTTCGTCTTCCACGGGAGGCTTTATCAGAAAGAACTGGATGAATGGGACATTTCAAACTAATGATACTAAGGAGAAGGCAGAGGCTGCAAAATGCTTTTAATGAAAAATGTTTCTTTCCCCTGTTTTTTTTCTTGTTCAAATGTCTCTTCTGTAATTCCTGGATTATTCTAATCTTCCATGCTTAGGATAGAGCTTTCATTCTTCATTTAGTAGCCTGATAAACAGGCTTAGCACAAATTTACAAAACACTAAGTGGTAATGTGCATACATATGAGGAGGATGAGACTCCTGTTTAGTACAGGGCAGGATACTGAAGAAAATTACTAAGAGAAAGAGCTTGGAAAGTCTTGCTGTCTGAACAATGTCTCTGCCCACTGGATTCTCAGGTTTTGCTCTCTCTCTTTCAGATGATGTCCCCATACGAACCTGGTTCCCAAAAGAGAACCTCTTCAGTTTTCAAACTGCTACTACAACTATGCAAGCGTAAGTGAAACTGCTGACATAGCTTTTATTGTGTATCTTAAAAGTTTGCAGCCCACTGAAAGCTGTATCTGAGAGCCTGGAGCAATCAAGTTGTATGTTTGACGCCTCAGTCTGGGGGTGAGAGAGAGAGAGAACCTTATTTCTTATTAATTTCTCTTTCTCAATTATTAGTTATCTTTCCTACTACTCCCACTTGTTTTGTTTTACCTTCTTTAACTCCTTCGGCTACCCAGCTCTTCTCTGCTTCCCTTATTTTCTCTGTGACACTGTGCCCTGTCCCTGGCTGCCTCTGCAGAGTGAGGGTCCTGTGGGAGCACCAGCTGAGACCCTCCACCACTTGCTTCTGCTGCAGCCACTGCCCCGAGGGAACGTTACTCCACGTTTGCCCTGCATCCGTCACTCCAGAGGAGTATGTCTCTATAGGATGAGATATAGCCCTACAGCTTCTGTGCTGGTCTGGTCATTTGAAAGGTGTCAGTAAAATCTCTGTAAAGTGTGAATGGGTCTGAGTTAGGAACAGCCTCTCCCTCCACACTCCACTCAGGTTTTGATGCCCCTGGTTGCTGTGCCTTGGGAATAGGCAGTTCTCAAAGGACTGAAGAGAATAAGGGAAGCCTCATTTCCAGGTTGTACCCAGCTTGTTGGGAAATACCATCTTCCTGGTTTCAAGTATTTCCTACCTGGCTGAAAAGCCAAGGCAAGCAATGAGGGAAATGAGATACTGTTCTGCCTTCTAAGGCCCTTCTCCAGCCTTGTCACCTTTTTCCTGTGTCCTTCTTCCAATCTCTGTGTCACCTTCAGCTCTACCGCTCTCTTTATTTCTCCTTGTCTAATCTGGTGTCCTTTTTGTAATCTCTTTCTCTGCCATTTCTTCTTTCCCTCGTCTTTCCCTTCCCAAATCCTGAAAAGAGGCTGGCTGTTGATGTTGGGATAACCCAGACTGGATCAGACCTGTAAGGACTGATGTAGGGAGGGCTGGATCCGGCACTGGGGAGAGGGGTGGCTGCTGAGGTATTGGAAGGGATCTGCATCCCCCAGAAAAAACACTTATCTTCATGCTCTTTCCCTCCAGCTCAACTGGAGGTGTGACCCACCCTCCCAGCATGAGAAACAGCACAGGGGAGGCATGTGCCTGGTGCCAGTCTGCGGAGTCTGGTGCATGGTGGTGGGGTGCTAATCCCACCCTGACAGTGGGATTGAGGAGTCTCCATGGGCTTCTGCTCTCTCTGTATTGTCCTAGCACTGCATCTCTTACCTGACCTCTATGTCCCTGTGTGCCTCCTACTTCAGGGATTGAAAGTCTGGTGGTACCCCAGCTGGTTAACACTCCTGGGCACCAGGCTGACAGGGCCTGTGGGCCGTCCGAGGGCAATTTGACAGATGCTTTGCTCTTTAGAAATGTTGGCTGGTAACAGTGAATGGTATTTTACAGTTCTGATCCGACACACCAACCTATGCACAAAATCAGCACATTTCCTTTACCTTCAGGCACATCCTTTGCTTTCTGAAGTCACCTTTGCGGTGCACAGGTTTATTGCAGGATGGTGGCCCATGGCAGGGCTTACAAGGCTTGGAGCTGTTGAAGGCTAAAGTGAGGTTGGTTTGGGGCATGGTGCCCTAAGGAAACCCTTGAGGAGCACAGCTCCCTTGGTTAACGTAGCTCCCTGGTTAACATTTCTGGAGATTCTGTGCTGCCTCTAGAAATGGCACAGAAACATCTCCAAAAGTTCAGGGCACTTCCCTAAGCTGGCTGGCATGGCTCCCCTAGGTGCCCCGTCCTCCTGGTCTCTGCTCTAGTGTTTTCAGCCCACCGTGCTTGCTTCCTTCATAGACCAGACAGCGTGAGCTGACTTCAAAAGTCTTTGTCACTGTGGGAGAAGGTCTCCCTGCTCCAGAAGCCCATGGTGCTGAGCTTCTGTCGTAGCCTGACGGGCCACATTCAGCTGTCAGTGGTACATCTGCACGTTCTCTGGGTCTATGCAGAGCTTAATTTGCATCCAAGCCACATGCCAATGCTGCCCCAGGGAGGATTTAGCTTGGTCAAGTAGGAGTCTCACCACTGAGAAATGTTTAATTTAAAAAGCAATTTCCTTCCACCTAACAAGAAATATTCCTTCTGGAGTGAAATTCCCTCAGAATGCTGGCCGGGACTGAGCACTAATGAATTCCTCTTCTCTTTCTTTTTCCCTGCGTCTCCTGGAATCTCTAGCATCTCGTAAGTATAATCTTCATGTTTTTTTAATTTCCTTGTCTGTTGGTGTCCTGGATAAACTCTCCTCTCCTCTCCTGTCCATCATATTCACTTGTGCTTCCCCTATGCTAGGGCTGTTTGTTAGCTGGCGAGAGGTTAGATGGCTGCACCTGGTAGGCCTACATGGATCACACTGCAACCATCCTCATCTTCGAAATGGAGACTACAGTTGCTAGCATGCTTTTGTCCCTCTTGATCCTGGTGTACAGAGGTTTTGTGTCTGCAGTCTCCTAGGTCCGTTCCTCCGTAGCAGGGATGATGGCTGCTTGCCCCCATTCTTTGGGATGTGCTCTGGCCACTCTTATGTTTGCTTTAGGAACAACTGCTTGTCCAGCCACCTACCCTAGAGAGTGAGGACCTTTGGTTTGGTGAGTCTTTTGCCTGGCCCCTGACTCACACACAGTCCTGGAAGGGCTGGCTGTCTTCCTTGGTCAGCCTAATCTCTCTCTGTTGTCTGGTGAGAGCTTTCCTGTCTGTGTTTCGTGTCCTCTCCAGTTCAAAGCTGTGTAGTTGGTTAATGGCTTAAAATGGTTTCCCAGGGCGTTCAGGGGCTACGCAGAGAGGAAGAGACGGAAACGAGAGAATGATTCTGCAGCAGTTATACAGAGGTAGGGCCCGTTTTCTCCCATAGCCGTAACCTTGCCTGGTGTTGCATGGGCCCTTCGGGTGTCATTAGTGACTCTTGATGACGTTGAACGTGGTTGTCCCTGTCTGTGTTGCTGTTCGTAGGGACACTAGCAGTGGCTGTGTTGGAAATGTGGAGGTGAATGATGCTGCAGTGCTCAAGATAGCTGATCTCCATCTTCTTAAAGGAACACTGTCAAGTTTCTTTTAAGCATCCAAATACAATATACAGGATCTGTGTCTCAGGCAGAAAAATATATAATATATAAAAAAAAAATTAAAGATGCAATTTCCCCAGCCCTCTCCCAAATATTTGGAATTTGTTTGAGGTTAGCTGAATACTTTCATGTGCTGTTGCTGCATCGACAAATGCACCTCAGAAATCTGAGACCTAGGCAAAATTAACACCTCTAGTGACCAGAAGTCTATTTTTTTAATCTATTTTTAAAGAACAGAAAGGAAGGAAAAGGGGATGGGGACTGATTCCTTGTCCAGGTATTACAGAAGGGTCCTGGTTTCCCTCTGCTGGCTTCACAGGGCACATCACTTAGCCAGTGTTTTAATCGGAACTGTTCTGGTTTTTTTGAAGTGTGCCAAAGCTCATGTATTTTGGCAGCCTATTAAGAAGGATAACACAGCATTTGTGTGATTGGTTAAAAACTGCCATGATCACTTCAGCACTATTCAAAACAAAGTGGGAGAAAAACACCAGGTTTTCTAACTGGGAAATTGCCAGGAAGATTTTCTTTTTTTTTTTTTTAGCAACTTAAAGGTGGTGGTTCTTTTCCATCAATAATGAAGGGAAGTAAGAATCAAAACTAAAGATGCAGTAAATAAATAGACAGTGTATCTTTAAAAAGAAAGAGATTTTTCAGAATTTTTTAGACTTTTAGACAGAGGCAAGTCTTTGTTAGAAAATGGTTTGTTCACAGGGCTTGCAAATACAGGTGTAGGAGTCATATACCTTGGTGATGCTGTGTAGTCAGGATAGAGGACGGAGTCGTGTCATCCTTGTGTTGAGTGGTCCCCTCCTGTGGACACTGAAGGTCTAGGCAGGATTGTACAGTGGAAGCCCATCTGCATTTATCTTATGATAAAGAGAAGATAGCATAGCAATGATGAGCTTTTGGCTCTGCCATGCAAGCAGACCCTGGCCAGCTGTAAGGCTTGCCTGACAGTGTTTAGCACTCTTCTCCTGGGAGTGAGGAGGACCCCAGCCCCACTGCAGTTTCAGATGCTTGTTGGGCAGCCCTTCATGGTCTCAGGTGTTTTGGAAGTTCAGTTGTCATCACATAGCCCCTTCAGCGCTTGGCCCTGTGTGTCTGGTGCACAGGCAGGCTGGCTTGCGTGGCGTGTCACGCAATGGATGTTGCTTGGAGAATGAGTGATGCCCAGTGGTTTGCTGAACCTTGTGACTGCTGCAAGGAGCCAGGGAGGAGAACGTGAGAGGTGCTGTTGGGAGTTTTGCAGAGCGTTGATATACGTCAGTAAGTCTGTCATTGACCTCTGTTCAGTTAATGAAAAGGCTTCTCTGCAGAGTACGAATGAACCGCTGCAGGCAGAGCTGCAGAGTGTGTGGAGTGGGGCTGCTGTGTCTTGGAGACCCTCTGGCTGGGATGGATACCATGGAGGTAGCATAGGGTCATGCAGACTGCGTGGCAAGCTTGAGCCTGTCAGGAGGATGACTGTTCAGGAAAGGGCATAATAAGGAGATTTATCACTGCAACTTGAGGGATGCTTGATGAATTTTGATGGGTGAAGAGATCTTGTTAGTGATCAAATAACACTGGGTTTTCTGGGTGCAATTGCAGGAGCCAGGCAGGAAGACTGGGCAGGTTTATGTAGCCCCACTGCTCACAGAGCAGATTGCGGCTCCCCCAGGGGTGCTGTGCCAGTCCTTTTGTGCTCACGTGCAAGCACAGAGGGGCCCAAGGACAAATACAGCTGTAAAAAGCCCTCAGAAGGATCTAGATGGCCACAGGATGCCCACATTAAGGGACAGTCCCAGGCTTGCACCTTCTTTCCAAAGTGCTTTTTTTTTTTTTCTAGAAGAGCTGGTGGGGGGAAAAAGGCCTTTGTCCCGTTCTCTGAGCATTTAGTGCGATGGTTAGGCTTGAGCAACTGGATTCTCCCTGGAGCTCCTCTTGCCAATAGGCAGGAGATGTATCTAGACAGCTGCCCTCAACCTGCACTCATGGGAGAGACCAAGCTGTCTAGGTCTGCTTTTACTCCCCTTCCCCCCCCGTCTCTAAAGAAGCTCCTCTGTGAAGAGGACAACTGAGCATTTAACAGAAAAATTGATTTTGCTCCAAAATGCCAAAAGCCCAAAGGATGTAACAGTGGCCTTGGCAATTAACACTGGTGCTCAGTGTCTGGTATGATCTTGGCCTCACAATGGACCATAAAGGTTTTCATTCTGATGAGTTACAATGTATGTCTAAGACCTTTCTGTGTAAAGAACAACCATGGTTCCCTTAAAATATTCTATTTATTTGGATTTGAATCAAACGTGCAGTGAGACAGCCCACGTTATCAGTCATCACATGCCCCGGAAGTCTTTGTACATAGAGGCAGTCCAGCATGTGTTAGTAAAGCAAATTATTTTAGTTACTTGTCTAAAGGGGACAGTTGTCTGATCCACAGCAGTGAATCTTCATGGACCCAAGTAGAGCTAAAATAAAGCTTTGTGAAAGAACATTAATAGCCCAAGTGCAGATGGAAATTTGTCATGGAATAATATTGCTTCCAGCTTCACCACCCAGCTGCTAGTTTTCCTTCTTGAGTTGCTGAATTTGGATCCTGATGACAATACGAGATCCAAGGCCAAAGCCGGGCACAGTGCAGAAGGTGACATGGGTTAAGTGCTCTCCCTCCCACGAGGGCTGTGTTTGGGTTGATGTCTCTGTATTGGAATAGGTGTATCTGACTTGCTCTGAGCAACTTGATGTTGGTGCTGGAAGTATCTTCTAGCCCAACTAGTTTGCTAAAGCATCTGCATGGTTGTAACATGTCCTTACTCATCCCACTAACTTGTGTGTGAGCCAGACAACTTGTCATTTTACCTCTTTCACCAGCAGTAGTCTCTGTTGTTTGATGTCTGTGATGTATGTTGGTGGGGCAGGAGGGAATCTAGGAAGGCTCCCCCACCCCATGCAGGCCGCTGGTACAATGGGCTCACTGACATTCTTGGGGGCCATGGGAGTTGCAGGGCAGTGTGAAGTCACCCTTAGTAGAGTTCACTGAGGAGTGACACTTTTCTTGCTAGTCCACCTGCTGCTTCTTCCCTGTGTCTCTTCTGGTGTCCTGTTTGGTTCCTGTCCTGTTTCGTTCCTGTCTAGGTGAGTGATGAGAAACTAAGGGAAACAGGTCCCTTGCACTCGGAGGGACTGGACGAAGAGTTCCTTTGCCATGGTCTGTCAGGAGTGGCCAGGATGGTTTGTTTTACACAGACCTGACTACGGAGTGTAACTGCTGCCTGGCCAAAAAGGACCTGGGGGTCCTGGTTGACAGCTGGCTGAACATGAGCCAGTAATGTGCCCCGGTGGCCAAGAGGGCCAACAGCATCCTGGCTGATATCAGGAATAGTGTGGCCAGCAGGAGCAGGGAGG